TAGTGTTTTCAGTATCACATACCAAGTACTGGTCACTTCAGCTAGGCCAGTGAGAGAGCACTATCAGGCTAGGGTAAGAAATAAGCATAGGCGGGAAGAGGAGGCCAGCACAGGACAACAGCTTCACAGACCCTCATGTAACTTTAGTTATTGCCCATGCATAAAAGCCAGTTTTTATACATTCATAGATTCCAAGGCCACAAGGGACATTCTGATCATCTAATTTGACCTCCTGTATAACACTGACCACAGAACTTCGCCCAAAATAATTCCTAGGTTTTTTTTTTGTTTTGTTTTTGTTTTTTTAAGAAGAAAAACACCACTCTTGATAACCCACCACACCCCTTGGTAAATTGTTCTAATGGTTAATTGCCCTCACCATTAAAAATTTTAATTATGATTCGCTGTTTACAATTACATTTTGAGACTTATGAGTTATCCAGTTTTTACGTCATTCTGTATTTTTAATAAAAATGTCATGTAGTACCACAAACTCCTTACAGAAAGCTAAGTATATTACAACAACACTATTACTTTTACCAACCAAATTTGTAATCTCATAAAAAAAATATCAAGTTAGTTCGACAGGATTTATTTTCCATAAACCGATGTTGATTGACATTAATTAGATTACCCTTCTCTAATACTTATTAAAGAATAATATTTAATAATACTTATTAAAGAAGTCTCACATCAGCAGCTCTATTATCTTCCCTGGGATCAATGTGAGATTAGCCTATGATTACCTGGTTCATTCAAGTACAGAAAAGAGTTTTGTCCATGTAGCTTTGGGAACCTGCCCTTTGTTGTTAGCTATAATTTTTGAAAACATTTTAAAGAGAACCTAAGGAATGAAAGGTCTTAGCTAGAAAGAGAGGCTGAAGAGCTTAGACCTATACATCTTACAGAGGTAAATGCTGAGAGGAAACTTACTGAAATGTGTATGCACTTAATGGGGATCACAGAGACTGGGGGGAAGATCTACTTCAGCACAAGGACACTCCTGGAAATTTAGGATAAATATCTGGGGAGCTTCTCCTTCTACCCCAAAAGGGTGATCAATATTTGTATTCTTAATCCAGGAAATGTGGGCAAAATCCACCTATGAGGATTCAAATGGTGGGGAATTAAGAGTTACTTGGGGTCCAACATATCTGGGGTACAAGTGACATCAGATGCTTGACTGGGTTATTTGCGTTCACATGCATGTGACCACATTGATCAGCAGATTGTGCGCTAAAATGGAATTCTCTTGGTATCTGAGAAACCTTGGATATGGTGAGACCTTGAGTTTGGTGTCATCTTCCTCAGGAGAAGTGACCAGGACCATGGACCATATCCTAATATCAAACAAATGACTACTAAGGGGAATTTCATACTTATTGTATGTCTATGGAGACCTTCCCCCTTTGAGGTTTATTTAGGGGACTTTCCTGCTACGTTTACATTCAGAATTTTGCACAGGTGACATGCAGTAGTTCAAGAACTGAATTTCAGGATCAAGCTTGTTGAATTGCTAAAGGCACTGAGAGGGTAGAAAGTGTGGGAGTAGGTCTTGCTGCAATCAGTTTAAAGCTCAGGACTGGGTTTCAAAGTATCATTCACGAGACCAATTAACTTAGCTATTCAACTTGCCACAAATCAAAGGGAAGTAATGCCACAAAACAACAAGAAAAGAGAGGCTGGAACAAAAGTTCAAAAGGGGAATTAAAACACAATCTCTTACAACTGCTCCAACAATGCATCTTCAAATCCTAACTTTATTACGGCTTTGGGGTAAAGGGTCTGTGCTTTTCTCTAAGTGCTGGAAGATCACTACAGAACTAAGCAATGAGCCACTAAAGGCAATTTCATATAAACATTTCACCCAATAAACACAATTTATCAGCTGCATCCACGGCTCCATGCCAACAGCTACCTATATCCTTACTGTAACTTACCTATGCCTGGGTCCTGCAACTCAGACACATAGCAAGAAAAACTCTGTAAGTGAAGGGAGAGCTCCACTACAAGTCTACTCTTACTCACCTCACTATTACGATGCAATACAGAAGAGGATGGCACTGTCTTCCTTTTCCTGTATCAATATGCTGAATTCAAGCTATGCTGCATGTTCTGTATTCTCAGCACCCAATGCACAACAGCAGAAAAATCTGGGAGCCAAATCCAGAGCTTGCAAAAGTGAATGTAACATCACTGAATTCATTGAAACTGCACTTGCTCACAGTATTGAAAAGAAAGACAGATTTTTATTATAAATCCTCTTTTTATACAAATTTTCAACTTTCAAAGAGAATATTTTGGCTTGAAAACTGCCATTTTCATAGAATAGAATTGTTTCTGAAGAAACTGATCAAACTTTACAAAACTCCATTTTCAAGATTTCATAGCCAGAGCCTTACTTAAACTGTATTACACACTAGTATATATGCATGTCAAATCTCATAAATAAGTGACTAGCTTTCATCATCAATACTTGGTTTTCCATCATGAATTCCAGTGTGTAAAACTTTCTATGCCAAAACCACAACAGGACTTGTAAGCCGACAACATGTAGTGGAGACCTGGCCTGACATGAGCAATAAACATCTGGAGGGAGGTCTCATTTCTTGGACAACAGTATTAGGGAGGTAAACAGATCATTAGGTTGAAAAAGACAGAAAGTTTGAGCCAACTAAGATAAGATGGAGAACACCCAGGGACCATTTATTAACAATGGACAAAATAATTCGGAATGTAGAGATGAGGTAAAGACTAGGTCAACTGAGGACAATGCATGGACAGAGCATGTTGCACTGGGACTGGTTCCTGCGAAGTAACCAAGCCAATTCAAAAACATGTGATGCAATGTAAAGTGTAAATGTATATAAAGGAAGAGTTTTTCTGTGCAACTCTGGATGTATGGTACATACTATACCCACCCCTACACTTGAGTCTGATCAGCATAGCTTTGCTGTATGACAAATAAAGGAACCTGAGTGACTAAATCTGGAGTCAAACGGAGTTTTTTGGATCCCAGAAAACTGGATAAAGTGTTCGCCTACAAGTAAGCAAGGTATTCTCGATAAGCTGAGTGGAAAAGGTCTCAGAGGGAATCCAACACTACAGCAGAAAAACTATTAAACTTTTAGAACATCAAGACTCCAGTCTTTTAAACATTCCAAGTGAGCAATTTGTGCAGGAAAAGTTTCTATTGCGGTGAATTTGTGCAGAGTTTGGTCCCTGCAAAACTTGCACATAAAATTTTAATCAGCTGTCATGTCACAGTTCTCTCCTCCTTCATGCTCCCACACTTCTCCCTAGATAAAACCATATCTGGAATCTCGGGAACTCAGATGTTCTGTAGACCCAACCTCTGCTGAGTGAGCTATGCTACCTTGAGCGTTAATCCACGCTGAGAGGCTGGGAAGGAGCTATAAGAAACATAGATTTACTTTTGAACTGAGGCAATTGGAAGCATCAGGCATCCTTCAGCTCATGAAGTCATTATACAATAAGTAATTCAGTACACACAGTTTTACACACCTATAACTTATTGTGAAGAAAAAACTTCAGTGTATAATTTATGCAAATAATACTTTGCATCACTAAGAATTTTTGATAAAGGACACCCAGTCTTTCCTCCCATCTGTCAATGACTTTCCCAAACACACTGAAGTCTAGGACCCTAGCAGTGGAACTTTTACCAGGAACTGGAGAAGTGCTCCGAAGTGCCATGCCTCTCCCTGTGCATCTTAGAAGAACCACATAGATTAGGTCCACTTGGAAAAGTGTGGATTAGAGACTCCCATTTTAGCTTTGTCCGCGAAAAGGAGTGGCAGGTTTACATGCTGAAATCCAAAGTCCACTGGAGGCAATACAAGGTCTAAATCCAAAAAGATGCTATGGCTTGTAAAGCTATGAGGAATCCATGACCTTCTCAGCACAAAGTTTATGCACATTAAACTTTATGAGCTGAAGTCTATTTTCAGTGCATAATGACCTACGGCACAACACTTTATACACTGAAGTCAAGTTTTCTGTACATAAAACTTTATAGCCTGTCTATTTATACTCTTAGCATACTTTGCAATTCATTTTTTTAAAAAAGGATATTCCCAGTGAAAAAGCATTAATTTATAAAGTTACTAAGTCATGACCATCACAAAAGTACATACCAAGATCATTTCAGTTAGCAACATGTAGATGTCAAGATACAGAAATGATCATTGAAGGTAACTTAAAGAGAGATTATACATTCTCAAGAAAATTTACATTTGTGAACATTCACATTAGACATTTCCATGACCTTAACTCTGGCCCTTTTCGTCTGTGCTACGGTGCAAGTCGGAATAATAAAAGAAACAAAGATTATTTTAAAATGGGCTTTGCACTGAGTCTGAAGCCTAGTATTCAGCTTGAGGCCTAGTGGTAATAGTTAGATTTGCCTATAGAACCTTCTACCAGCACAAACACTTATGACAATTGTCAATACCCCAAAAAATGATTAGCAGGAATGACAAATATGGTCAAGAAGCCAAGACTCAATTAAATATGGTCTCAGAAATAAGTGTGCGTAAGGAATAGGTGCCTAAAAAGGGAATCAAACCTGATGCTCAGCAGGACCTCGGGAGGGCAGGAGGTGAAAACCTTAACACTTAATCTCATTTTAAGGGGAATCCACAGCCCCACTAATTCCGGAGTATACATGATGTGGATTAGGCTATTAGTCTTATCTTGTTTCCAGTTCTGTGATTTTGTTTATATTAAACATCATATAAATAAAACTCAGTCTCTATGTATGTCTCACCAGTCATCATCTTAATTAATCTCTAAATAGCCACCAAAGAACAAACCCGTTATTAGTGACTAGTGCATCTTGCACCCAAAATTAATCATAAGGCTATACCTGCCTACTTCAAATCAGCCCTACTCTCATTCACACTCATTTGCACACAGCAAGAAATCACTGCCCTCCATCCACTTCTGGAATTGGATTTACCTTTTCCTTCTGTCCTTACCTGACCAGGTCTCCATGGAGCTGCAAATAGAGGTTCTCCCTACCCTCTCCATCACAGATCTCAGATGCCAGGGTATCCACTGTACAAAGGACCAAGTGCAGGTCAGAAGAGGTCGCAGTTGCAGAGTCTGCTCCATAAATGTATACACAGCCTCGCCCAACATCCTCTTTCAGCCAGTCTCTCTCACGGGAGCCAAACCGACTCCTCCTGTTCAAGCAGTTTCTGCTCCCATTGCGCTTCATGTTCCTCTAAATGACATCAAAAGTAGATGGTTAGCTGCTGGCACTAAGACTGAAATCCAATAGATTGCCCACTGCTTTCCGACACCTCCAATGACTAGCCAAGTGTAATTTCCACCTCTCACCCACCTCTCCTTCTGCTTCCCCAAATTCCCCTCATCCCTCCTGGGTTGCAGTCATCCAAACAGCTGCTTACTCCTGGGGGAATTCTGCGCCACTACCCATGCGCAGAATTCATGTCCCCTGCAGATTTCTTTGCTTCCCTGCAGAAAAATGACTCTCTGACAGGGAAGCAAAGGGAAGCTGCAAGAGCAATCACACACCACTCCCTAGCTGCGCAGGTTCATCGTTTCAAGCACCTGGTGCAACCAGCAGAGAGGTAAATCACCGCAGGGCTGGGAACACCCCATCCAGTGGCTCCTACACTGAGCAGAGATCAGCTGTTAGGCCCGGCTGGGCTGGAGGCAGGAGAAGACGGGATTTCCTCTTCCCCTGCAAAGGGGTGGCTGGGGCTGTGTCAGGCCCACCCCCAGAATCCTCCTCCAGCTGCAGGAAGCTCAGCATCCTCCCATGCTTCCTGCCCCCATCGCTCCTCAGCTGGGGAGAGAAGAGGGGTCACTGTAGGGGGGAACAACTGCTCCCCCATCCACCCAATCCCCATGCATCTGGACCTCCCATATCTAGACACCCGCCAAGCCTCACCTGATATACCCAGAACCCCACTAGCCCTCCATACCTGAACCCCACCCCACTGAACCTCAACCCCTGCATCTGGAGCCCCCTGCACCCAGACCCCCTGCCTCCAGACCCCCACCTCTGCACCCAGACCACCCCCCACCGAGCTCCCTGCACTCAAACTCCCACCCTGACAAGCCCAACCCCCCTGCACCACCCTGAGCCCCCACATCCAGACCCCCATGCCACTGACCCCCAACTAGCTGCACCCAGACCCCCACCCCACAAAGCCCCATGAAGCCCCACTCCCCCCAGCATCCCAGACCCTTCCACTGAGCCCCAACCACTTTTACCTGGAAGCCCCTGCAGAGTCCCATTGCCCCTGCACCTGGAACCCCCCACAATGAGCCCCTTTGCATCCAGATCCCCCCACACCTAGACCCTCCACCAAGCAGCCTACACCCAGAGTGTCCCAAACAGAATCCTCTCACCCCATACTGAGCCCCTCCACACTTGGATCCGGCCTGTCCCACAGGTGCACCTAGCATAGAGGGGCAGGACCCCAGGGTCTTTCTGGGGTATATTCAGTCCTTGTGCTGTATCAGGGTCGGGTGCAGCCTCATCACTGAGTTCTTGTCCTGGGCATGGGGAGGCTGCAGGGTGATCTCCCACCTTCGTATAGCCAGTGGCCTGTGCTCCCTACTGCCATACTGAAGCCTCTGCATTTATTTATTGACAAATGAAGCTTGCAGAATTTTAAAATATTGTGTGCAGAACTTTTAATTTTTTCGCACGGTATACCCTCAGGCATAATAGTTGTGGACAAGACATGTAAGGAGACTGCATAAACTAAGGTAAGGCTGGGAGTGACCCCTGGATTGTGCTTGGAAAGCATCTGCAACACCCTGTATCTCTATGATCTGGAAACATCCTTCACCTCTTTGGATCTCACCCATTACTAACGAGGCATACAATTAGAAGGAAAATTAAACCACGGATGGGACCAAATCCTCTACCCCAGCTGACTGGTTTGACACTCTGATGATTCAACAACAAGGATTCACTAGAATATGGAATCGTCTCCTTAATGACACAAATAGTCATGCTCCTTCCCTCTTGCCTAGGGCTCTACCCAGAGCTGACGAGGGGGAAGGGGGGGGAAGACAATTGTATCAAGGCCCCCAAGTCCAGGGTTCCCCCGAAAATGTCTAATGTCTGTGTAAAGAAGGTGAAATTGCAGGGGGTGGGGCTCCAGTGAACATTATGTACTAAGGCTCCAAATTTCTCTTGAGGGGCCTGACTCTACCACTACTACTAACAAGAAAGTGCGCTAATAGCAGCATGGCTCGATTCAAATCTCACTATGCTAGCTGTTCGTTCCACAGCAGGTGTTCAAGCTCATAATCTGTGAAGAGTGAAGGCTGCTGCTCCAAATGGACATGCCCTAAACCTATCACAATAAAGTGTTAGGCAAATCAATATTGCATTGTAAAACAAATATTTTTTCTCGCTCCGCCTCAGCGTCCCAAGTGCCAGATGCATATTCCACATAGCAAAGTAATTTTTACAATAGTTTGTCACTTTAGCAGTCAATGTGGTCAACTAGGTTTTCCTCTATTAGGGTGAGAGAGAGAGAGGTTCATCATAGTATCTAAGAAATCCTTCTGGAGTTTGCTTTGCTTACAGATGGTGGTGCTAGACTCCCGTGAGCACCTATCATCTCACTAGCAATGCAGCATTTCATCCTCTAGAACAGGGGTGACCAATCCGCAGCTCATGAGACGCATGTGGCTCTTTTACAGTTAAAGTGTGGCTTGCGGAACTCTCCATGCCCACCCCTCCCCCATTCTCTGCCTACCAGACTGGGTGGGGGGGAGGAGGATGCTCAGGGCTTCTGCCCTGGGTTTGGGTGGTGGGGCTAGGGGCTTCTTCTCCCCAGCAGGGAGGGGAGTCTTGGGGCTTCAACCCCACAGGACATGTCTGCCAGGACTCAGGGCTTCAGAAGGAGCAGTGCTGAAGCCCCAAGACCCTCCTCCCCACAGGGCTGAAGCTCCAAGCCCCGGCAGGTGCCTCACAGAGAGCTGAAGCCCCATGACACCCGCTCCCCACAGGGCAGAAGCCCCTAGCCCCACCATCCTGCCACGTGGCTGAAGCCCCAAGCCCCGGAAGGCACACCGCAGCTTTTGAACTTCTGAAGATTGTTGTACAAGTTTACCACGCCTGCTCTAGAAGCTGCTGGGCATCCACACTAAGAGGAAACAATTAGGATCCTTCTCAGGACACAGCTACCAACTGTCGCACAGCAGCAGAATCTACACACAGGGAAATGCTTTAAAATTACAGGAACATCAATTAAACCAATATCCTCCGAGTTATATTTCTATTGAAGTAGCAACTAGAGACCTTGATCAGGATTAGGGCCCCCAACGTGCTAGGCACTGTACAGACACTTAGGCCCCAATTCTTTTTTGTGCAGATGTACACTGGGAAAGGGAGGGAGGCAGGGGGATGCAAAGGTGGTTTTAAGACAACTTTGCACCGCTGGGATTCTGGGCCCAGTCCCCAGCTGTTCTAACCAATGGTAGCTTTGAACAGCTGCCAGTGAGCCAATCTGCCACCTCAGAACAGCTGGGAAACAGATGTTCTGGCCCCATATTTCTGCACCCCTCTCACACATATGACAGACAAGGGGTGAGAGGTGGAGAGCAAAATAGGGCTACCTATAACATTCCTCCAAGTTAGTTCCCAGTTGGAGAAATGGACCTGGGTTCTGTCCAGAATCAGGGCCAGAGTATGAGACAATCCTTGCCCCAAAGATATCAAGGCTGGGGGATCAGCAGAGATCAGGCAAAATACATAATCAAGTCAGTCCTTCACAGCACACTTGCATAATCCAGAAATCCATCATAAGTCCTTTCCACCACAAAGTCTAACCCAGTCCCAACATTCAATTCTCCTTTCTTAATGCAAGGAAGAGGAGTCACTTTGAATCTTGAAGATACTCACTAATTTCACAGTTCAACTTGAGCAATTACATTAGCCTCCTTCATTTCAACTTGTTATAATATGATACTTCATTTCCTGCCCTAAATTCTTACATTGCACTGCTATACTCTGTTAGACAGCTGCTGTGTTTTCATCAGAACTGGCTGCTTTTCAGTGCTCACAAAGTGATCCTCACGTACAATCTGAAAAGCATTGAGATATCCTTCAAGATGAGAAGTCTAGGTTATCACCCTTCTTTATTAAATAGATTTTCTACACACTCTTTATGCTTACAACCTTCCCCCACATCACTGACTTGCAAGTTACTTACTGCACCAAGTCTGCCTTCTAAACATAGACTCATAGACTTTAAGGTCAGAAGGGACCATTATGATCATCTAGTCTGACCTCCCGCATGATGCAGGCCACAAAAGCTGACCCACCCCCTTTCCCTTAACTCAGCTGTTGAAGTCTCCAAATCCTGTGATTTAAAGACTTCAAGTCGCAGAGACTCCTCCAGATAGCGACACCCGCCCATGCTACGGAGGAAGGCGAAAAACCTCCAGGGCCTCTGCCAATCTACCCTGGAGGAAAATTCCTTCCCGACCCCAAATATGGCGATCAGTAGAACCCCGAGCATGCAGGCAAGATTCTCCAGCCAGACCCTCATTGACCATTGATACTATTTACCAGCGATTGCACGTTGTTCACTAATTAACTAAAATCACGTTATCCCATCAAACCATTCCCTCCATAAACTTATCTAGCTTAATCTTAAAGCCAGAGAGGTCTTTCGCCCCCACTGTTTCCCTCGGAAGGCTGTTCCAAAATTTCACCCCTCCGATGGTTAGAAACCTTCGTCTAATTTCAAGCCTAAACTTCCCCACGGCCTGTTTATATCCATTTGTTCTCATGTCCACATTAGTACTGAGCTGAAATAATTCCTCTCCCTCCCTGGTATTTATCCCTCTGATATATTTAAAGAGAGCAATCATATCCCCCCTCAGCCTTCTTTTGGTTAGGGTAAACAAACCGAGCTCTTCGAGTCTCCTTTCATACGACAGGTTTTCCATTCCTCTGATCATCCTAATGGCCCTTCTCTGTACCCATTCCAGTTTGAGTTCATCTTTTTTAAACATGGGAGACCAGAACTGCACACAGTACTCCAAATGAGGTTTCACCAGTGCCTTGTATAACGGAAGCAGCACCTCCTTATCCCTTCTAGATATACCTCGCCTAATGCATCCCAAGACGGCATTTGCTTTTTTCACGGCCACGTCACATTGCCGACTCATAGTCATCCTGCGGTCAACCAGGACTCCGAGGTCCTTCTCCTCCGCCGTTACTTC